AGCAACAAGAACTTTAAATGAGTCCTGTTACCAGTCAAGAATTTCACCAAGACTCGAGTAGGAGGACCCAGGTCAACAAGATGGCAACCAGTACACAAAAGAACTCCGTAAAAATGGCCTGCAAAAAAAAAAAAAAAAAAAAATGCTAATCCCAGCCCCAAGCCAGTACAGACACACACCCCAAACTCTGAGCCCAGGGCCTTGTCTGACAGTGTTGATGAGTGCCAGGTTCAGGAAGACACACCAGGCTGGGGTGGAGATCATCTCTGCAGGAGCATCTTCAGGGCCTGAAACTAAAGCAGGTAATGAGGCCTGAAGTGGTAAAGCAGAGATATCAGGAGACTTAGCTGTAGGACTTGGCAGGAACCATTAGCCTCCCTTCTCCTGTCCTGAGCTGGGTTTGGGTCAGTCCAAACTCTTCTGCATAGGCCTGTGAAATTAGAGAGGGAGGGACAGTAGCTTGTCAAACCAAGGCCACAACCCAGCCCTGCACAGGAACTCTCAGGCCTCCTGGCCCAAAGACAGGGTGGGGCACGCTCCAGACTCCAGGAAAAGGGCTAAAAATGAGGAATTTCTCTGATACAGAATTGCTATTTTTAAGGCTAACTCTAATAATCTATCATCTTGACTACTAGATTATCCTCTTATGGGATCTCAAAGGCAGGCCCAATGCAGAATCTTCAAGAACTCTGGAGATCTGAAATGGTCACAGTAAGTATCCCCAACAGAGACCTAAACACTTTTCTCATCGCCTATGGCAGAGGTTGGCAAACTTTTATCTTTTGTATCTTAAAGGTCAAGAGAGTAAATATTTTAGGCTGTTGGGTCATATGGTCTCTGTTGCAAGTACTTAACCACGCCCCTATCACATGAAACCAGCCAAAAACAATTCATAAATAATGGACGTGTCTATGTGCCAATAAAACTTTATTTACAAAAACAGGCATCCAATCCATGGGTCATAGTTTGCCAAACCCTGGTCATTGGGAAAACCTGCTCTTCTAGAATTTTCATGCCCCAAAGAAGAGGCCACCATGCACCTAAAGGGCTCTCACCCACTCTGAAGCCAAGGGACTTCATTCCTGCTATTCATTTCCAGAAAACACTGAAGAAAATCTAGGCTGCTTGCTCCAAAGCCTGGCCTGGATCAGGAAGCTGGGCAAAGGTGGAAAAAGCTGTAGACATCAAATCTGAGGGCTTCAGAGCTGGAAAAAACTAGATCCCTAGGACTAGGCATCAAGGCCTAGAAAAGGAAGTAGTGTGCCCAAGATCATGTGCTGCCAAAGGTCTCCACATTCTATACTCCTCCAGAGTAGTAAATAACCAGGAAGCATACAAACAGTATGCTGGGGGAGGCCAAGCACCTATGGCACCTCTCTATAGCACTACTTGGGGCTGAAAGCAAATGGTTCAGCAAAGGTCAAGGAGACTGCCTAGAGAGGTAAGTGTATGTACATATGGCTATTTTTCCAACAGTACCTGAACACAGTTACTAGGGAGAAAACAAAAACAAAACCCCAAACTTCAAAAAAGGATGTGGTTAGGTAGCAGATGTGGGTGATCAGCAGAAACTGGTCTAGGAGTCTGGGCAAGCCCTGGGGTAATAAACAAGCACAAGGCATACAGTATCACCCCATTCCAGGTCAATGCCCTAAGCCCTGGGATCTATTCCACAGACCTTCTCAGCAACCAAGTACCTTCAAACTTCGTAATCCAATATCCTCCAAATCTCTTCCCAGAACTGACTTCCATTGCAAGCTTTAGTTGCCTGACCATAAACATCTCTGTCCCAATGCCCTGGCCATCATCTTGAAGAGCACATGTCCAAAAGCAAATAAAATAGGATTCCCCCGTGAAAGTCTGAATGCTAATTTTTCTTTTTCTTCAATCACTGAGGCTCAAAAATTCAGTACCTTGTCTTCCCCATGTCCTGTCTCCAAGCCAAAGTGGCTTTCTGTACTACCTCTTCCTCCCCATTCCCACAGGCTCCACCCTAACCCATGACCTCCAATCTGGTATGTTGCCAGTCTCCTGCCTGGGGGCCCTGGATTCCACAACACCAGATCTTCCCTCATTTACTCATCCACCTCACATCCACTATGATCCCTTCAAGGTCACGGTCGAGTGTTACCTACCTTTTGTGTCCCAGCTCCAAAAACCTCATCCAACATGGGTGTGAGGGGAGGATATAATAAATGCTTAATGAACGGTTCCTAGCTTTCACCATGGAGCACTCAAAAAACCTCAGGGCCTTCCTATTTCCCAAGATTCACAAGCTCTGAAGGCCCTCTAACATCTCACTCACCCTTCCCACCCTCATCTCTTACCATCCCAGAAACAAGATCTTGGCTCCATCAAGCTGATCAATCCCTGATCCTCTTCATGTGCCCATCATTCCTGCATCCACATCTCTGCCCACGCTCTGCTCACCCTTCCCTGCAATGACGTCCATGCCCTGCCCCCACTACGCACTCCAACTTCTATGCAACTGCCAGTTACTGAGCTGGGGGTGGGGGATGTAAAAAGGGGGTAGATGATTTAAAAAACAAAATGGGGAAAGGGGAGTATAACAAGGATATGCTGGGGGGTCTCTGATCCCTGGAGGCAACACCCTCCCAATGGTCGCAAATGATTAGAGAACGAAGAGGCGGGAGGAGGAGCCAGATTTTTCCACTGAACGAAAGGCATGATTTTCATCACTGCTTCTGTTGCCCTGGTAACCAGGGACAGCCCAGTGGAGAGTACAGTAAAAGAACACCATGTTTATCTTTGCTGTCTGATCCACTTCCCTGTACACCCTTCCCTGACCATCCCCTACCCCCTAAGCCTATTCCAAATTTCTTATGATGCCATCAACATCCTTCTGGTCTCTTGCTCAAAACCTCAAAGGCAGAAGTAATTTTTCCCTCTTTTTATCTAAGGCTAAGTACCATGTACTTTTCTACTGCGGCATTCTGGGGGTCATCTCACCACACCCACCTGCCATGCCAGGGGCCCCAAGAACCAAGGATTGGCCTCAAAGAACAAGAATGGCGTCCACTCTGCCAGATGTTCCCCTGGGCAAGGGGAAATAAATGGGCAAAGTGGTGGTGAAGACTGCCCAGCCAACCCTTCTTTCTCAGGCCCAGACAGCTTGTGTGGAATGGGCCCCGTTCTCCCAGTCCCCCTCCCATGCCTGGGATCAGAAGAAGAAGCCAAGCTGGGGATGGGGGGAGTAGGTCCACCCACAAGCTCTCCAGATCCTGCCTCCTACATGGACACGGTGTCTGCGTGACCTGAGAACAGAGACAGAGTGCTCGCCCTGGGAGATTATATAAGCGTTATATAACATGGTGGCACCAATAAGCACACAGACGCAGTTATCAAGTGCCAGGGACAGGCCAGGGGTGGAAACAAACGCAAGGGGCTGGAAGAACAGCCCTCTTGCCACCAATGCCAAAGCAATGCCAGGCCCTAGCTGCCCCAGCCCTGTCTATACCTGCTCCTTCCACCCCAGAGGACAGAGAGAGAGACTTGCCTGGCTCTGCATTCTTCTTCCCACGATGGGCAGTAGGGAGGGGCCGCAGCACCATCACCACCCTGGCCCTGGCAGCCTCTGTCTGGCCTGAGACAGCCTGGCCACCCTTCTGGCAGGGGGGCAACAAGGGGGTCTTAGGTAGGGAAGGGGTGAGGACCAGAGCCCCCTCTTCTGTTCTCCTACCAGAATGTGCTTGTTTGGGGAACAAGGACTGCAGCAGCTCCAGGATTGGCTGGGTCAGCCGTCCCTCTGCTCTGTCATTTGCTGTTTCTCTAAAAAACAAAACAAAACGAAAGGGAAAGGGAAAAAAAAATTAAAGCACATTTGGCAAAGGCTAAATCCCAAATTTTGATATAGGGCTGCAAACAAAGCTGGAAGGAGGGGGGTACTAAAGAAATTGCCCTTTTTTTCTACAGCCCCCACCTCCCACCTTCCACCATATCCTGGCAACCTCCCACCTATGAAGCAGCAGTAAACCTGGGGAATTGTCCTCAGTCCCCGACCCGACCGGCGGGCAGCCCCTGTCTAGGTCAGCCCCGGTCTAGGTCGCTGCCTCAGTTGCCTGCGCTTCTTCCAAGGCCGGTATTCCCCCTCCCCCTCTGCAGTGAGCTCAGAGTCCGCGGCTCCCTCCGGGACTTGCACGCGGGGCCAGGCGGCGGCCTGGGGCAGTTCAGGGCAGTTTGGGGCCAGATCTTCATCAAACTCCTCCATCATCACCACCACACCCACTTTATTAACATGGGGTGGGGTGGGGTGGGGTGGAGGTAAGGGGGGGGTGGAACTGAACAGAGACAGAGCCCAGTGGCATCTCCTCCGGTGGCACCTGCCCTCTCCCAAACTATGCCTCTGGCCTTCCCGCCGCCTCCGCCACACGCACCACCGAGCCCCCTGAAGAAGGGGGAAAAAGAAACACGTATTAATATCACGAGCCCTGGCGCACCATCCCTCGCCCCCTCAACCACCTGTCTCTGCGCTCTCCCTCCCCCACAGCCTTCCTCAACTCCGGGCGCCCCCTCTGCAGCAAAGGGGCACCACGCCCACTGCGGAGCCCAGGAACCCAAGGTGGGAGGGGGCTGGGGCTCACGTGCGGGCCGGGGGCTGCTCACCCACCGCCCAGATAGCCCTGACCCCAGAGTGCGGGGCCCGCCCGGGCTGCTCCAGGCCGCGATCCACTCCCACACCCTGGAGAGGGGAGCTGCGCCGGGAGACCGAGCTGCAGCGGGGGTGGGGCACGGGCGGGACCCTGGGCATCGCTTCCTGGGAGCCCACCGGGTCCCAGGACGCTCCGGGACCGCGCTGCAGGCCCCGCCCGYGCTGCCCACTCCCACCCGGCCAAAGCCCGGCTCTTACCTCTGCGGCCGCCACCCTCCGGGGGGACTGCGCAACACCGCTCGCTGCCCGGCAAGCGAACCGCGGCGCGCGGGAGATGCGCAGCAGCTGCGGACGCCGGCCCGGCGGCAGTCGCCGCCGCTTCCCGGGCGTGTGAGCTCAGCCCGCCCGCGCGGCCGCGCTTCCCACTCCCGGCGTCCTTCGCGGCGCCACCCAGCGGCCGCGTCCAGCACCGCACGCTCGAGTCCGGGAAAATTCTGCCGCAGCCTTGCCGAAGGATTTGGAAATTCCCAGAATTTGCCAGTAGGTTTGCAGCTGGGCGGGGGTTGGGGGTGGGGTGGGGAGAGGGGCCTGAAAGGCCTTCTGACAGTCACCAGGCTTGGGACAGGACAACTCCCACTCACTCTATCCCTGAAGGAGACTCCAGAGTCTTTGCATGTCACACTGGTTTCCCCATTGCTCTGACATTTCGTCCTCAAAATACTCTCCCAGTGACCCCTCTTTTAAAATGGGGGTAAAATGACGAGAGCTGGCATTGCAGGGCCTCCGTAAGCCTGCATAGAGATCATAGAGATGAGATCTGAGGTGTGCACTGGGTCATTTGCAGAGCTTATTTAAAAAACAACACAGATGCACCAGCCTACCTGTAAATTCTAATTCAGGAGATTTTAGAGGACTGATTTTCAATCTTTTCTTGGATCTAGACCCTTTTGAGAATAGAAGAGCTGTGAATCCTCTGTTCTTTTGTATTCACATGTATAGGAAACACAATTTTGCATAGAATTTCAGGGAATTCTGAAACTTCTCAAAGCTCTATGCCCCCCAGGTTAAAAATTTCCTCTCCGCAGGTATCCACAGATAAGAGACCTAGCTGTTGATTCTCTGAATCTGCTTCCACTTTTCCTCCAGCTGTTTCCTCCTCCTGAAATATCTCCAGCAGACCCCAAGCCCACATTTCTGCCTGAAGAAATTCCACCTGTGCTTTCAGGCCAGTACAAAAGCCTCTTCAAGTGCCATCTGTGACCTCTGTTTTCTGGGAGTAAGTATGTTCTTTATGTCTTTTGTCTCTAGTAGATATACATGCACCTGTGGTTATCTGTGTGGTTAGTAGTAAACTCTTTTAAGATCAATTTCCTCCTCTGCAACAAAGGTATCTTAAATGGTATGCCCTTGACAAACTGTTCATAAATAATTAAAGAGAAGTTGGGTTGAGGGGAACAGGAGGTCCAGGGAGAGGAATGCTTTTGTTTCAGGGGAACCTGTGCCCCTCCTCCTCCCCTGATGGATGCTCCACCAATAACCAACATGTAACTACTTCACTTACATCTCCATGTCTGAAAAACAGAATTCTCAAATTGGCAAGATCTTTTTATGTATTCCTTCTCCTCTGGGCAAGGCCACAATTTAGGGTTTCCTGGATGAAGGTGGGATACAAGTTCATGAGAATGCATCTGCCAAATAGTGGCTATTCTGCCACTAGTATCCATTACTCCAAATAAGGGGTATCAAAGCCCACTTGCCATGCCAGAAGCACAGTGGCACATGACAGAAGCAACCAGGATGTCATCCTTGATTGTCMCATCTTACTTCCCTCCCTCCTTGCACATACTAAATTTCAAAGATTGCCCACCTCTGAATTCTCAGTGGACTATCATTTCTCACCTGGATTTCGGCATTTGTCTCCATCCTACCTAGCCTGCCTGCCTCTAGTCTCAACATGCTCAGAGCCAGTCTGCACATTTGCTATGGACTGAATATTTTTGTGCCCTTAAAATGCATATTTGTGTCAGGCATAATGTCACATGCCTATAATCTCAGCAGCTCAGGAGGCTGAGGCAGGAAGATCATAAGTTCAAAGCCAACCTCAGCGACTCAGCAAGTCTTTCAGCAACTTAGTGAGACCCAGTCTCAAAATTTTAAAATAAAATAAAAAGGGCTAGGGATGTATCTCAGTGGTTGAGCACCCCTGGGTTCAAACCCCAGTACTAAAAAAATTTTTTTTTAAAAAAAGCATACTTGTAATCCTAAACCCAAAGTGAGGGTATTAGAAGGTGAGGTAATTAGGTCATGAAGGCAGAGCCCTCAGGAATGGGATTAGAGCCCTTGTAGAAGAGACACGAGCACTTGCTCYCTCTCTCTCTGCCTTCTGCCATGTGAGGAAACAAGAAGACAGTTGGCCATTTACAAACCAGGAGCAGACCTTCTCCAGAAACAAACCTGCCAGTCCCTCCATCTTGAATTCCCCAGCATCCAGAACTGTGAGAAGTATGTGTCTGTCGTTTAAGTCACCTAAGCAGCTCAGGAGGCTGAAACAGGAGGACCTCAAGATCAAAGCCAGCCTCAGCGATTTAGCAAGACCCTAAGCAACTTAATGAGACCCTATCTCAAAAGGAAAAATAAAAAGRGCTGGGRATAAGGCTCAGTGGTTAAGCACCTCTGGGTTCAATCCCCAGTAACAAATAATAATAACATTAGCCACATCTAAAATGATGTCTGCTTTCCCTCATACCATAATACTTCTGCAATAGTGTCTTCAATGCTTAGTATCATACTTGGTGTCAGGTGGGAACACACAAATTTTTATTAAATTAATGAAAACTTTGAACATGATACACATTCCAGATAAAAGACTCTGGAGCAATACAGTGGTGTTGCAAGATGCGGTGGGGCCAGGTCTACTGCTTTTTAAGAATAGCATCACTCACTTTTAACAAATTAATTTCCATCTTTCTGAGTCTTCCATTTCCTTAACTAAAAAAATGGGGATAATAGTACTCAGGGTTGCTTTGAAGCTGGCTGAAGAGATACATTGCAGTACTTTGCAACTTTAATGTCCTCCATATCTATATGTTAGTCAGTATTGTTGTATTACTTCACTTGATCCTCACAGTAACATTTTGAGTAGGCAGCTGACATTTCCCRTTTTGCATATGAGGAAACTAAAGGTAGACAGTAGAAGGCAGTTTGCCTAAGGTCATCTAGATAGTTACCAAGAACGGAAGAGGCTTGACACTGGGTTCCAGCATAGGCTCTCTCCACCACATCACCCTTTCTCTTCCCTCCCATCCTTAAAATAGGAAGCAGTGTTGGGACACATATATGTCAACATCCTGAGGATCATGTGCTCACAAATGTCACTGCTCAGCCTTCTTCTAAAGAGTTTTTCAGTGTGTGAGGTGGGTTGGTGATGGAAACAGGACAGAAAGGAATGGGCTAGGGAGAATGACCTTGGAGATGACCCTCTACTCCCCACTTCTGCCCCTAATCACACCCTAGGGGGGTGAGCTCAGTCAACAGCCCCTCTGTCCCATGTAATTGGACTTCTGCAGGCTCCAAGGTTCCCAGAAGCTGGATATCTGTTTCCTCCACATGTCCAATTCTGTCCATCAGCAAATATCTACTGAGTTCATATTAAGTGCTCTGTCAGCACCTGCAGAAGTGTAGCCAAATCAACCACTCTGGGCCTTGATGTGCCCATTCTGCAAAATGGGGTTAATAGCCTATCATGTGTCTATTGTGAGACTTGAAAAGGATGACTGATGGCTGTTGGCAGGTTGTTGCTAGTGGAAACGCCTACTGCAACACCCAGGCCCGATGGCTGCTGTATTTCAAGCCATGGGAATGGGTTATTTGGTGACCAGGCAGTGTCAAAGAGGAGAAGAGGAGCTGGGGAAGTAAAGAAAAAAGAATGAAGGCTGAAGTGCTTGCTCCCAGGAATGTGGAGACAGCTTTGGAGGTCAGAGGTTGTTGGAACTGTTCAAGAATGACGTTTGACTTTCTGGGCCCATGTCGAGCCAAGGTCATGAGAGGTTTCCCTGAGATCTTGGTGAACAGGGGGCGTGGACCACAGAGAGCCAAAAACATGACTGTGGGGGCTTAGATGAAGCCCCTTTTCAGAAGCTCCAGAAATAACTCAAGGGCATCCTGAAAATATCAGTGATATCATCAGACGAGGCATTTTTACAAATTTGAAGAACGGAAGTGGTGCCAGGCACGTAGTAGGAGTTTGATGTGTGTGTTCCCTAGGATGTACACATACGGGCATCAGGTGTTGAGTCCCTTTGCTGCTGGATCTTCCCATAGCGCTGCCTTTKCGTGTTTGTTTCTCGATCTGTCCAGAGCCCCAGGGGACACCCGGTGGAACTGCCCTTCACARGATCCCTGTGTGTGTGGTTATGGTGACTTTTCTCTTTAAAGATTAAATCGTTTTCCCCCTCTTTCCGTTAAAGACAACAGCCCTTTGGTTTTTGATAAATGTTCCTTTCCTACTAGCAGGTGGATTCGCCCCAGGCACTAAGAACTGTGCTTTTAAACACACACACATAAGCCCAGCTGTTGGAATCTGCTGCTTAGGGTCTGTCTTATTTCCCTTATCTCCTGCCCTGGGGGCTGGGTTTTCTCTGCTTTGGCAGGCTGATAACATGTGGAAGGGAGAGAACCATTCTAATTAATAGACTAATTAGTGATACAAGCCTTTAATAGCTGATTATAGGAAAGTCATTCCCCATCCCCCAAGTGATTGATTTATTTATTGCCGTTGTGCTGCATTATGGTAAAATAGTCAGCTTCTAATTATCTATTGACTGTTCCAGTCAGACCTTTCCCTTCGCTTCCTCCTCGTCCTGCCCCTTGCTAATAGTAGGCACAGGCAGAACGGGAGAATTCAAAGGAGCCACTGAGCAGCGGTGGACAGATGTGTTAGGATCTATCAGCCACCTATCCTGACAGCTCAGAAGTGAAAAGGGAATGGGAGGTGGGGAAAAGGAGACAAGAAATCCCACCCACCCTTCTAGAATTACTCCCCCATGGTTCCTGCCCCTCTGTATGCCACAACTCACAGGCATTATCAATGGCATTAAAAAAAAAAAAAAAAAAAACAGCCTAGTGTGGGACTTAAAAGCCTGCCCTCAAATCCAGCTGCACAGGTTCAAAACTCATCTGTCTTACTGGCTTGTGATCTGGGGCAAGTCTTTTCAAACTCACTGTGCTTTAGTCTTCTCATTTGTCAGGTGGAAATATAATTGTTCCTCCCCAGGAATGTGGTGAGGATAAACCATTTGGGGCACTTAGCACAGGACTCAGCACGTACTAAGCCCTCAGTAACATCAGCTATGCTAATTACTGCTGCCTGAAATTATTACACATACCTGTTACATAGAAGGAATGTGATAAATGTTTGTGGAATACATGAATGACTAGTTCATGATTCTCAAGTGGGTTGTAAGCCCTTGAAGTTCAAAAAGGTGGAGAAAAGAGAAATTGAACAATAAATCATCATAATAAAAGCTACCTTTAGTTAAGTGCTTATCATGAGCTAGCCTCTGAACTAATTGCTCTATATACATTCTCTCGTTTAATCCTTATGGAAACTGATTTTTTATCATCCTTCTTAAATCACAGTTGTTATTATTGTTTTTTTTTAATAGCCTGAGCTCTCATACACAATGTTGTGGGAACTCTATGTCCTCCCAAGATTCCAAGGACTCCGGGGAATGAATTGGCAGTTTCATGATCATTTTTCCTTATGGATTCCTGCTCCGGCTGCATGCAAGCTTTTTTACCTGCCTCCTGACAATGCTGTCCCCTCATCCCCTCACTTTCACACATGGCAGGCTAAGCCCTTCTTTTCTTCTTTCCCTAAAGGCTCCTTGGGACACAGGGCCATTTTACCTAGAAGACTTATTGAAAGGTGGGGCCATCACAGGATAGCAGATGGCACAAGAAATCACTGATGTGCTCAGCACCCTCCTTCTGGACTGTTCTACTCTGAGCCCTTCCTGCAACCACATTTCCCTTTCCCTAAGAATCTTCTCCCAGTCTTTGTCTCCTCTGAAAACCCCATATTTCTGTTACTTTGTTATGCAAAGAAATTTCTCTTTTTTGAATAAATGCTTCCATTCAAGGATATTCTCAATCTCGGTCAGAGAAGGAACCAAGAGAATAGAAGCTCAGTAACTTTTTAAAACTAAAAATGTTAACAAGAAGTATTTTCCTTGACCCATAAGCAAAGCACCATCTGTGATAAATCCTGCCCCACCCTAGAATGAAGACATATGGCAGTTGTTTTTTTCATAACAACATTTGTTTTTCTTCCTGTTAGACTTGTAGAAATGGTATGAYGTATTTATTATAATACCCATTTTTTTTCCAGCGGAGGAAACTGAGGATGAAAAAAACATTTTTTTTTTTTAAGTTACTTGCTCAAAGTCCCACAGCTAATGTCAGAGTTGAATTCCAAATGCAGACCTGATTCCAAAGCCAGAGAGATTGACCACGACACCATGTGGCCACTTAGTGCAGCTCAAGCGGATCTTGAAGTGGTTCCATTCACAGGCGATTCTTACTCAGGAAATCTTTYTGTTGGGGGAGGTCTTGCAGGTCAGAGGAAGGTGAATTGATTGATTGAAGGCCAAAGACATTAAAACCAAGTAAGAGCTAGGAATAACTACCTATGTATAGCTTCACATCTGAGACCCAAGAGGAGTTGTCGCTATTAATCACTGCTGGATGATTGCTCTGATTGCTTCATTTGTGGGTGCTGCAGTTGCTGAATTTTACTGCGCTGTATTTGACCTTGGGGAGGGGTTCACTTTAGGGGAAGATAAGTAGAGTGGAGGAGGACAGAAACCAGATTACAGCAGACTGAACAGCAAATAATAACCAAAGTTATAATTTTCCCATTATCACACTTTATTATGGGGAGAAACCCTTCCAATAAGTATCATGATTTCTATTTTAGGGAATGAGAAAGCCCAAGTCACTTTGCTTATGTGTGGCAAAAATCCCTCTGATCTCTCCACCAGTGACTTATTAAGGAATGTTTTCCCACTCTTTCTGGGAAGAGTTCTCATAAATTCTGTTTCTGCAACTTTAATCCACTTCCAGTAGTGTTCTTGCCTCCCTTACAACCTTGGTTCCCCAACCAGCTTCCCAGCTGGGATACACTTTCATCTGGGTCTGCCTGACCCATCATTCCTGCCTCAGGTAAGTCCTGCGCAAGAGAACTGATGAATCCAAGCTAGCCATTCTTTCATTCATTCCACAGCTAGTTACTGAGCTCTCTGTGAGAGCCTCTGCTACCTGGCCAACCCTTTTAGACATCCTGAGCAAACAGCTTGAAGTGGAGGTTTTAAAGATGCAGCCAACACTCCAAAGCAAGAGAAAGCCTGTCTTATCTTCCCAAAGAGAGAGCCTCTGCTCCATTGCCAGGTAGGAAACCAGAAAACACTCTTGGCTGCCATTCCCCCTCTCTGTTATGTCGAAACAGTGACTACCAGACCTCTTAAGATTTTTATTTTTTTAATTTCCCTCCATCTTCTTTCTTTGAAAATTTTCAAACCTACAGAAATRTTGCAAGAGGAAACAATGAGTCCCCCATTTACTGGATCATTTTCTCCTAGATCTAAAATTGCTAATATTTTACATCACATTTGCGTTCTTGGCCCTCCCCATCTCTCTTTATATACATATGTATTTTTTTCACAATAATACTAAGATGCAATTTGCCTTTCCACTCTCATTCTCTCACAGGTATGTCACATGTGTATGTGGATATATAGGCTTCTATGTGGTATGCTGGACCATGGGAAACTAAATGCAGACATTATAAAATTTCATTCCTAAAGATTTTTGCACACAAAACTAAAATAAGGCCATTCTCCCATATAGCCGTAAAAACCATTATCATGCCTAAGAACCAAATCCAGTTGACTGTATCATCAAGACATCTCCCATCCAGCCAGTTTTCTTCAGCCACATGTTGCACTTAACTTCCAGAGTATAGTCGTCTCTTTGCTGGGCCCCTCTTCTGTCCATGATCCACATTCCAACCAAAGAGCTTTCCAAAGTGTAAATCTGATTATGTCTCCTTCCTACTTCAGACTTTCCAGTGGCTCTACGTTACCTTCACAGTGAAGAACACACCTCAGGTGGCACACAAAGCCAGCCAACATGGTCTGGATTCATCTAGAGCAGCGCTACCCAATAGAATTACACTGTGAGCTATTTATTTGTTTGTTTGTGTGTTTAGAATTTTTTAAAGTTGTAGATGGACACAATACCTTTATTTTTTTGATTTATTTTTTTACATGGTGCTGAGGATCGAACCCAGCGCCTCATGCATGCTAGGTGAGCACTCTACCACTGAACCACATCCCAGCTTCTTTATTGTCATTTCAGGTTTGCTAGTAGCCACGTTTTAAATAGTAAAAAGGTGAAACTACTCTTTTTAAAAAGATTTTTTTCGTTGTATATGGACCATTTATTTATTTTTATGTGGTGCTGAGGATCAAACCCAGTGCATCAAATGTGTGAGGCAAGCGCTTCACCACTGAGCTACAACCCCAGCCATAAAATTGATCTTAAAATACATTTTATTTAATCTAGTATAYACAAGATGTTATCATAGCAACACAAACTTAATATTTAAAAAAGTACTCATTAGATATTTGACATTCTTTTTTTTTTCTCTTGAAATCCTTAAAATCTGGCATGTACTTAACACATAAAGCCCATCTCAATTCAGATGCTAAATTTTAAGGGTTAAAACAAAATATATTTTTCTGACTAAAACTGAAGGTTATGTTTCACACACACACAAGGTATATGGTTCATTTTAAAAGTTGAATTAATTAAAATGAAGTAAAATTGGAAGTTCTGTTCCTCATTCACACTAGCCACATTTCAAGTGCTCAGTAGCCGCATGAGGCTAGTTGGTTCTGAAATTGTGCAGATTGAGAGTAGGAGTTTTTAAAGTATGATCCAATGTCCCCTGGGGATTCCTTAAACACATCTAAAGGGTCACTGAAATCAAAACTATTTTCCTATTAATGCTAAGATGTTATTTTCCTTTTTCACTTTCATTCTCTCACAAGTGCAGAGTGGAGTTCCAGAGGCTACAGGACATGTAGTATCACAACAGATCTAATACAGAGGCACATAAGAGAATTGGCAATCTTCTATTAAGCTAGATATTAGAGATTTAACAAAGTGTAATATAGTGCCACTCTTTTTCTCAATCTTTTTTTTTTTGTAAAATATAATTATTTTTTCATTTTGTTACATGTTAGGTAATGGAATAATAATTATTTTCAAATAAATTAACAAATAATTTCATTTTTTCTGGTTTTATTTCTTCTTTTTTCTCCCCCCCCCTTTTTTTTTGTTGTTGTTATTATTGTTGTTGTTGCTGGGGACCAAACCCATAGCCCTGTGTGTGTTAAACACATGTTGTACCACTGAGCCATACCCTCAACTGTTTTAATTCCTGACACAGTCATCATTGATGGATATAACCCTCAGAGTCAAAAGCTCTTTGAAATTCTCAATTTTTAATGATCTAAGAGAGCTTTGAAAATAGCTGCCTAACTCTCCAGTTACATGGCTTGAGATTTCTTCTCTTCCCTCATATTTTTGGCTTGAACTTCCAGTTCCAGACAAGATCGAGTAGATCCACTTCTCCCTGTTCCTCTTTGCTAAATTTATTTAAAAACTCTGCACACAATATGTAAAATGAACATAAAAAGACAGATAGGTAGACAGAAGAAGGCAGAATGATTATGAAGTTCCAGACTCAGGAAATGATATGGCATCGGAGTGGTGTCATCAGTTATCTAGGGGAGAGCCCAAATGTCACCCTGGCCCAGCAATAATGAGGCCTCTATGCCCCACAGGTAGGGAACTTGGACCCACTAATACAATATAAACAGAAGATTGACTACTAAAACAGAAGATAGACTACCAGAGTTTTATAACTTCATACCCAAAATATCCAGATACAATTAAAAACCACTGGTATATCAAGAACCAGGGAAGTTGTAACTTGAATAAGGAAAGACAATTAATAGACACTAAGAGCAGATGATAAAGATGTTGAAATCATCTATCATGGTTTTTACTTTCTTTTGGGGGGGTGGGGTGGGGGCATTACCTGRGATTAAACCCAAAGGCACTTAACCACTGAGCCACATACCCATTCCTTTTTATTTTTTAAGATAGGGTCTTACTAAGTTGCTTAGGGCCTCACTAAATTGCTGAGGTTGGTCTTGAACCTGCAATCATCCTGCCTTAGCCCCCAAGTTGCTGGGATTATGGGTATATATCACTGTGCCCAGCCTGTCAAGGATTTATAAGCAGTCATAAAAAGCTTTCAGTGAGCAATTGTAACATTCTTGAAACAAAAGAACTATTATAATGTCTTGACAAAGACATAGGACATCTAAAGAAAATCATATGCTCCGGCCTTAAAAGAAGAATTCACACTTCTGGAATGATTATCTTTACTTTGTGCCTGGGCCACAGCTTCTTCCTCTCCATGGACACCCATTTCTCTCTTCTCCTTTTTATCTGTTACTTGTTCCTCAATCAGCCCAGATGTCTCCTCTTCTGGGAAGCCTTCCGTGGCCTTCCATGGCTTCCATGGCCCTCCCACTCAGAGCTTGCACACCATAGCACTTTCGCTCCATGCAAACTGTTCTGTCCTCTGTCTCTATCACACCCACCCAACATGAAGACTCAACAGGAGGGCCTGTGTCTTACCTAAGTTACCTGACATAGTACCTGGCTTATAATAAGCCCACAGAAATGTTTGTTGAATAAGTGAATAGATTAATGAATAAATGGAAACTCTTCAGTGGTTCCTCCTTTTCTACTGAATAAAATTAAACTCTGGTCCAGCTTTATCCATCCTACACAATCAGTGACACACGGATTTTTCTGGGACTCACTTTCCCTTAACACATCCTCTTTCTCTGCTATACAGGGGAAAAGACTGTTGTTTGAAATTTTACTTTCTTGACTCCACATCTTGTATGTGCTCTTCTTTTGGCTCCGGACGTCCTCAACTCATCACTACCAACAAAATCATACCCACCTTCACAGACCTACCCAGATCTCCCCAGCTGGAAGGAGTCCTGCCCACTTCATGTTGACTTCTGTGATATCATTTCTTATTTTATTCCTTGTATTTATTTTGTTATTATTTGTTTGAATACACACACACACACACACACACACTATATACTTACAGTATTCTTTGCAATGTTTTAAAATCTGTGGGTACACATAAATGCATATCTTCTTCACCTCAGCCTCTGTTGGCTGAGCATCTCACATGGTTCCTTGTTACTCTTTGAGTTTCTGGTTTTTTTTTTCTAAAAGAATAGTATCTACTTTGTTGAAGTTCTATGAATATTAAGTAAAATACACTATTTTAACATTGATGCTGTGTCTCAATTTTCCTGGGTACTCAATGAAGGTTAGCTCCTATCAATTATTGTTGTATTATTTGAAGGAATAAATGCACTGAGCAAGTGCTATTAGCTCTAACTTCAAAACATCTTTTTTTGAGCGGGRCTACCGGGAATTGAACTCAGGGTCACTCAACCACTGAGCCACATCCCCAGCCCTATTTTGTATTTTATTTAGAGACAGGGTCTCACTGAGTTGCTTAGGGCCTCACTTTTGCTGAGGCTGGCTTTGAATTCGTGACCTGCCTCAGCCTCAGCCTCCCAAACCACTAGGATTACAGGCATGCTCCACTGTGCCTGGCTCAAAACATCTTTTGAATTCYACTTCATGATCATCTGCTCCTGGCCATGAGCATTTCCCCTGACACTGTCACTAGAGTCTACTTGGTCTCCTTCCTTCTCCTCTCTTGTCCTCTACCTCTATTCTTAACTCAGCAACCAGCAGGATCTTTTAAAAACAGGAATCAGATCAAATTACTTTTCTGCTCAAAATGGTGATTTCCACTAAAAGGCCTAATATGATCTGGCCTCCTGTCATTCTCCCCTCTCACCAATGCAGCCTCAATGGCCATCTTGCCTTCCCTCACAGTTTTTTGCCCTTGACAAGTCTGCTTCATGGAACTTTGCACTTGCTATTTGCTCTGCATGGGAGGAGCTCTCCAGCTTGACCTATAACCAGATCCACGTCTTCTTTCAAACAAACCTATGCTCTCAACTGCCACCTTCTTAAAAATAACTACCACATATAAAACATCAACCCTTACTCCCAATCTACACTCATCCCCTTTAGTTTTCCTTTCCAGATTCACTTACCTGTGGTTAACCACAATCAGAAAATATTAAATGGAAAATTTAATATTTTATTCTGAATAGCATGCTAAAAAATCTCTCTCCATCCCACTCTGTCCTGCCCAGCCCATGAATATTCCCTTTGTCCAGAGTATTCATACTGTATGAGCTACCCGCCTGCTAGTCATGTGGTAGCTATCTCGGTTATCAGGTCAATTATTGCACGATCACACTATTCATATGTAGGGTTTAGTACTATCTGTGGTTTTAGACATCTTAGAACATATAAAGGGGAACTTCTGTATTTTATATTTTTATAGCTCTTCATATGCCCTGAAAACATACCTATATGTTTCCTGAGATAAGATTGTTGCTTATCTCCTTGCTAGAATTGTAAGCTCCACAAACATCTGCTATATCTCCAGACTCTAGAACAGTGAATGACAAATAACAAGTGTTTAATAAAAGTTGGTGAATGACTTAACAGTGGCTGGAAATTCCTTGGATGGAAGAAACATCCGGTTGCACAAAACTGCTCACCCTTTCCCGGGTTTGTGTGAAAAGGAAGTATGGACTTGATCTACTTAGAAGGAATGGAATGGGGATGACCTATTCATCAAGGCTGAGTATACTCTTATTTATCCATTTAGATGAAAATCTGGCAGACACGAGTCTGTAATGAACAATGTAATATGGCAGAGAGCCCCAGGGCACAGCAGAAGGAGCTGAAGCTCACAATCTCCTGGGATTTTAATTGCTAGGCCCAGGACCTGCTGGGGGGCCAGGCCTCACATACCGCATATTGGTGAAATGCTCCAAAAGGAAAGCCCCAGACCTACCCTGACATTCCTTTACTGACTTCATGACATCCAACTAGAGGAACCCAGAGGACTCTGCAGAGGAACAGGGTGACATGATGAAGGTAAAAGTTTCCCATTCAGGAGTTGTGAATTCTAGCTGACTGGGCAAGTTGTGTCCTTTCTCTGAGCCTTAGTTTGTGTTTAACTATATCATAAGGAAGTTGGGTTGAATGTATCCTTAAGGTCCTCTCCATCAGTGCCTTTCTGTGGTTATATGAGTTTTGTGTATGACATAAATTGTACTAGACTCTTCAGGGTGGGGCAGTGGCAGAGAGAAACTCAACATGGAGCCACTGGAATTGAGGCCGAGCAGTAGGAGCTCAGCAGGGCCAGCAGGTGGAGCCATTGCTGCACCAGGATGTGCAAGTCGAAGGTGGGAAAGTTTGATTTTCTGAGGAAGCAAAGCTTCCCAGCTGTGGTGGAGAACTCTATCCCTCCCACCCCCTACCCCACCCTGGGAACATAGTCCTTCCTTCCAAAGCTTACAGGTTCATACACTCAGGGAGAATGGCTCCAAGACCCAATTGCTTTTTTTCCTCTAACTGGGTCACACTCTCAAATGGTCACTCATAACAAAATGTGCTACTAGTTGGAAGCCAACTGGATTTTTCTTTCTGATGACCATCTTGCTTTCCTCCAGTCCCAGGAGGGTTCTAGCCCCCTCCCTTCACCTCTCCTGGGTTCTGTGGAAGAACCTCTGGTTAGAGAAGTTGGAGGAAAGCCAGAGACAAATGGGGGAGGGGGAGGGGGAGGGCTAGAGGGAAAGGTCTGGCTTCGTCAAGATAAGAATGGAAGAATCAACCTTTGTTAGGGCCCAGCCACCTCTGCCACTGTTGACACACTTGGAGGTGTTTCCTGAGGCTACTGGGAGTGTCCAGCAGCACTGCCTCCCCCCCATTTCCTGTGGTCTGGGGGTGGGGGCATCTGGAAGTTGGAAAGAGGTGAGKGCTTACAGATAGCAGCTGAAATCCTGAGGGTGGAAACCCGCTCCCCTCCTGGAGTTGGCTGCCAGATTTCTAGAAGAGTCTCCACATCGTCCTTTGCTATTTCTGCTCTGAGCTGGGGCACTAGATGGTCTGGTAACAGAGGCTGCCTAGGACATCATCCCTTTCCTTTGCTTTGCATATTTTGCATGCAGCACCAGTGTGTTCCTCTTTTCAGAAGGGTGTTCCAAAGTCCCAGGCACATCACCCTCCTTCCTGAAGGTCCCTGCTCCATTAGAGCCTGCAATTCTCTCTACTACTGGAAATATCCAGCCTCCCTGCATCCCCACATAGAGAAGAGTTGGCAAACTGGACCACAGATCCTCAGCATCCTAATTGGTACCTGTGTCCCCTGAGATGGTCAACCTCTTCCCAGGCTGGCCTCTCCCCACCACATTGCTGCATGGTCCTGCAGGGTCTGATGGGACTACTCTGTCATTCAGAACATCTAGCTGGGATAGCACCACAGAACAGATAGTTTGGTATTACTTTAATTATAGTATTTAAACACACAACTTTTTATTCAGGGAAAAAAAAAATCCACCCAATCCTCATTTCTGGAAAGTTCTCTTTCCAACCGTTATTGAAACCAGGATCCCTGCTCACCCCTCTAGAAAAACAACAACAGAAAAGGACTTGGGTCTCCCCCAGATGAGGAAGCTTGTGATCTTTGGGAGAAGTCATGGAGCTCTGACTATCTGGAGATGCAGAGCAATGAAGGGGTTCAGGTGGGGGAGGCAGAAACAGAAGTCTGCTGGGGCTGAGGTCACTGCTCAACCCAGGAGTCAGAGGAGGGGAACAGAAGTTGTGCAGATAAGAGGAGACCGTGATCTAGCCTCAGCACAAAGAGAATTCTGCCGAAGAGCACAGGTCAAGAGGTTCTGCTCAGAGATCTGGATCTGGTCTCCTGCTCACTTTGATCCAAGGAGTCTCTGTGTGACCCCTGAGAAACCAGGACGGAGCTGTTTGTTCTACAACATGGAAGCCAGAAAATGTGCCAGCTTCTGTATGTGGACAGAGGGAGACACATGAAGCTTGGAGGAACTTGGGAGAGCAAGTATGGAGCTGGTGGCTAAACCCACAGTGTCTTGGAGGAAGGATAAGGGATAAGGTTTAAGACAACGTGTTTTTTTCTGGTTATATCATTGCAAGGGAGCAGGTTCAAGGGGTAGTTTGGAGAAAGAAATACAAGGAAGAAACAGTAAAAGCCTCCTGGGAGGAAGATCTAGCTTAGAGAAGCCCATCCTTTCCCCTAGGGGCTTCTGGAAGGGGGAAGAGAGCAAGAGAGAAGGAGGGGGTCCCTGTGTGGATGCTGCAAGGCCATCAACCACCCTGGCTGCTCCTCTGGACCTTGGCTTTTCCCCACCACACCTTTACCAAGAAAAGACCAGAGTCTAGGCTCAGAGAGCTGAATGTGTAAAGGGCACCTGGAAAGTGGAGGGCCCCAGGAACGGCCTCTGAGGTGCACACAGTAGGGAAGGGTAGGACATGAGAGATGTTGCCTCCAGCACGGAGGCAGTATGTGATCAAGAGGCAGAGAGRGGCCACTTTTTCCTGGACACTGCCCAGTCTTGCCCCACCCAGCCAAGTCACAGTTCGGTATCAGCCACCACGTGTTGTCTTGCTGAATGGCCGTTTCTGGAGGAGGCCTGGCCGGTCCCGTTCTCCTGAGCCCCTCGATTCACACTGGCCTTTCCCTGAGCCTCAGAGGAGGACCCAGGTCCTGAGCTATAGCCCTGGCCTCCACCGTTCTCCGTGTAATAAGGGTCTTCGCCCTAGACAGTGTATAAATAAAGTAGCATTATCTGGTCAGCAGGGGTGTGAGACACTGTGAGGAGGGAGACCAGAGGGAGGAGGGGAAGGGAGGGAGAGGAGACGCAGCTGCACGTGCAGGCTCCTTTCTTCCCGTAGAGCAGTCAGGGTTCCAGCTCCTGGAGGAAAAAGGACAGAGGAGAGGCACCACACCGCGCCACCAGAGCCCAGTAGCCAACTCCCCCAAGAAAACTGGCCGTCCTAAGGGTGGAATA